ATACCCATAAGGTATATGGTATAGCAGATCAGAAAAATTTTGTGAATCCTTAAAATAACTTAGTAAATTTATTCAGTTTTAGCATAATGTATTGTACTGTGGTCATGCATGAATTTCATAAATTTAAATTTAGCATTTCTGATTCATCCGCAAACTCGCAAAATTTAATTCTCTGCAAAATATTTCCAGCTGTACAGTATATGTACAGGAGTATTAAATGTATTGTGATTATTCTAGTAAAATTTGGGGAATATTTTGGTAAATATTTTGGTGATATTCGGTTTTGGGTAATTTTATAGGGGCTGAAATTTAATGAATTGATCAAAATTTGTCAATTAAATAGCACCTGCAATCTTTTATAGGCAGCTGCATTTAGATGCAATGCCCTAACTTAAACAGGAAGCATTTTATTGATAGACATTTAAATTTACATTTACTCCTGACACAAATCATTTGCATGCTTCTAACCACACAAGCTATTGTACCATTACGTGCATAGGTTCAAGCCTTAATGACACGTGACTATAAATCACTGGCAATTAATTTTCCAAAATTATCCCCTTACAAATTACCTACCATACACAGTATTATACTATACAGTATTATAATACTTACCAGTTGTTTCCATATTCTTTTATTAATATCAAGTAACCAGCAATCATCCTTAAAAGATCCACCCACCACTAGTAGGCATGGGCCTGAGTTACTATTAATAAATACACTGGAATGAGAATATTGTTCCTCAGGTTTTTGCTTTGATACTTCACCAATTTTGGAAAAATTTTTAATAATAAAAATGATACAAATAAATAATGAAATTAGAATCAATAATAGTATAACAATACATTACTAATAATGCACTTACTACTGATGTGTGGCTAAAATTAACAATATAAGTATTGTTACTGGATCCATTAGGAGTAGCCCCACCAAACAATATCGCACAGTCATTAGTAATTGATGTTAAAGTAAAGAAACTGATAGGAGGTGGTCTGTCTCCAGTAACATTAGGTGAACTCCATTTACCTAATAATAATAGATAAACATTAATACACACATACATTGTACTTATCACAATCATACAATACACAAATACACACACACACACATATTCTAATGAGTACAATATGCCGTACTATATATAGGAAGACACATAAACATTTATACTAACCAGATGATACTTTATAATAATGAATCTCATTAGTTCGTTTAAAACCGAGATACCATTCCTTTGCTGTCATACTCAGCATTAGGTTGTGTGGGTGTATTGTTAGAAGATGGTCCTTGTCCTCCAATTACTGCAAGATAGTCCTCACCGTTCACTTGAAATGCTAGCATGCTACAGTATCCTTTCATCATTGGTCCATGATGAGGAGTAGTAGGTGAGAGTTCCCTCCAGGTGAATGTATCAACATTAAAACTGTACAGGCTATTATGAAAACAGCTATCATGATTACACCCTCCACCAAAATAAAATATCTCATTGCCAATGGCAGCAGATGCATAGGCAAAAATACCCAATGGAGGATTACCAGTGGTGGGTTTCTGCTCCCATCTACCAGTAGGTAAATGGTATACCTCCATTAATGATGACAGTGCTTTCTTCTTATCATTATTGTGTACTTTAGGGAGACCAGGCTGGAGCCCACCCCACATATATAAGTAATCTCCTACTCTTACTGTAGAATGCCAACCCCTCTCCACTGGTTTATAGTCTATAGATAACGGTAACAGTAACTGAGTCAATCACAGAAACAACTCCTCACCTTTTGCTGCCATTGTAATGAGATACACCCACCTATGACGTCATCAAACAACTATCGTGCAACAATAGTTGTATAAAATCACACCACAGACAAGGTAAGACTAATAATAATCCTATTATCAGTACCAATAATAATTTCTCATTCCTAATGAAAGGTATTCCCAGTGCATCACCATGTGAATTTCATATA